ATCTATGCACTCCCTTTGGATGCCAAATCTTGTCTCCTACCTAACAGTTTCTCAAAAAAAAAATTTTTTTTTTAATAAACCATGTATTAGCATGTTTCCATTAACACCAAAGCATTTCAGGGAGGATCTTACATTATGATGGCCAGTGGCAGGCCTCGGCTTCAAGAAGGGTCCAAGGAACTGCAAAGCTCCTCAAAGAATGTGGAGAAGGAAACACAGAAAGGCTGCTTAGGAACTTCCCTGTCTCAGTTCTTCACCTTCCTCCTCTGTCATTGTGATCCCAGGGGACAGTGACAAAGCTAGGACATCTACTCAGGAGAAGATGGTTGCAGAAACAAAGCACAGCCCAGAGCACCCCAGCGGGCCTCCAGCCAGTGTGCACCGCCTCCGTCTCAGAGGGCTCTGTGCACAGCCTGAGGGTTTGCACTTTGTACAAGCCCTTCTCCATTCATGTGTATGCACAACTGTGTAGGGGCACGGGAGAAGGAGCCCAGGGAAATTCACTGTTGCAATCTTTTTCTCTGACAAGGTCAGGACTAAGCACAAGAAGACCCCAAGGATGACCTTGAGAGGCTTGTGGTGAAAATAAAGTTGGACACATAGTAGGCAGATTTTCTGATCAGGGCTGTAAAGAATGTGAGTTCTGTACATAGCTGATTGTATAGGAAGAATGGCGTATGGTGATGAAAAACACAGTGTAACCCTGGGCTGAGCTGATAAATATTAGCATCCAGCAATCCCAGGGGCACTGGACATGAACAGGAGGTAGATGGCCAGCCCTTACACTGCACCAGCTGTGCCCTCTAACAGAGGAGGTGAGGACGTTGTGGTGGTGAAGGAGGAAGGAGAGGACGAGGAGGAGAAAACACAGAAAGACTCAAGAGGTGCCCTCTCATATTTCATTGGCTCTCCTGGGTTGAGGGATATGATGTTCTTTGCTTGAATCTAAGCTGGGAACCTCAGGAGGAAGCACCAGAAAACAGACTTCTGGTCAACCAGCATCAGAAAGTAGTTCTTAAACAATGTGGGTTTCTTAAATCTTGTAAGGAGGTAGGCTAATTCCTTATCTATCTGTAGCATGGGGAGAATAAGGCCAACACATAAACATACAAAAAAGATACAAACAAACAGATGGAGAAAGAGCAACTAGCAGCCTTATTCCCCCTATGTAGTCTCTGAAGTACTAGTTCCTACGGCTTCTTCTTCCAGCCTGTGAGATACTCTAATATTCAAGGTGTTGATGCTATTGCTGCTTTCTTGAGCTGCAGTCATGGTGATCATACCCAGCCCCAGGACTGTTGAATGGTGGGTTGTCCACAGGTTGGTAGAGAGGGGGTTTACCCTTGTGACACTCAAAGACAGTTTTCAAACCCTGACTCTTGTCCTGAACGCAAGCCCATCTCAGAGGCTCCCACCCCCTCCCATCCATCCTTCCTTTCCACCTTGCATCAGCACCTGTATGTGCCCTTCTTCAACTTCAGTTTTCTTTACTCTTTGGAAGAGAGCATCGTAAAGGCTCTACAAGCTTTCAACTGAGCATCTTTGTCTCTCACTTAGGTCAAGAAGTTCATTTTAACTTTGTTTATGATCTAATGTGAATTAGAGGCAAGAAAACAACACTTGGGTTATCAGTGAGAAAGAAGGGAAGATGAATATGCAGAAAATAAACTGATCAAATAATGACCTAATTAGTTTGAGTCACGTACAAGCAGAAGATTCCTAATTATAAAAAGGATACTCCAGAGTCTCTCCAGGCCATATGGTTAGGAAGTAACTCCAGAAATAAGTGGACAAGCCACATGGAAAC